AATATAACAGGAATTGCCGAATATATATGTGTGCTGATTCTTTAATATAAAACATGTTCTTAAATATATATATCATCGTTTTTAAATATAAACAATGTTGCCGATTATTTAACGTCTTCTCTCATATATATAAACAGTATTGGAATATATAAATCACATCACATATATAAACAATGTTCCCATATATAAATCACCTCGCATGCCAAATATATAAAGGGTGGTTACAAAGCGTTCGCTTTAACCGAATTATATGAAGTACTGCTTAAACCAATAAGCAACGTCTTGTATAAAGTGCAGGCGTCTTTTCACTCGACGTTGAGTTTAAGTGGTCATGGCTGACAAACATATGCAAATTTTGGCTAAATTTGGATAAAAGCAGTTACCAGTGTTGCTGATCGTGGCATATCACAGGAATCGAATAGCGAGGGAAATAGTTCGGTTAGTGTTGAAGAAACAATAAAGCGGTTGTTTCCATCAACAGAGGGTGGTCAGGGTGCAAACGCAAAAAAATACAGTGCTATATAGAAGAGCGCGCCGTGGAACAAGAAAGGAATATAATGAAAATCTTATTTAGTTCGAAAATATTACAAATATTTTTCCCATAGCCATCCATCTCAATAATATTTTGTGGCGTTTGCACCTTGACAGCCCTCTGTTGATGGAAACAACCGCTTTATTGTTTCTTCAACACTAACCGAACTAACTTCCCTCGCTATTCGATTTCTGTGATGTGCCACGATCAGCAACATTGCATGGTATTACTGCTTTTACTAAATTTGCCAAAATGCGCATATGCCTGTCAGCCATGACCACTCAAACTCAACGTCGAGTGAAAAGACGTTGTTTATTGGTTTAAGCAGTACTTCATATAATTCGGTTAAAGCGAACGCTTTGTAACCACCCTTTATATATTTGGCATGCGAGGTGATTTATATATGGGAACATTGTTTATATATGTGATGTGATTTATATATTCCAATGATATATATATATATATATATATATATATATATATATATATATATATATATATATATATATATATATATATATATATATATATATATATATATATATTTAATAGATTTGAAGATTTGTAATCCAGGCATTTTATTAAATTATAATTTTTACAAAATTATACAGCGTTCTCCGCATTGTAATAATTTGTTTTGAGCTTTCGACTCGGTACTTCGTGCCTTCATCAGAAAGATTGATCATTTGAATTTTCGCGCTGTTGTTGACGTTGTTGAAGTCTGTGTGAACGTCTGATTGGTTGATGGATTTCAGTATGTTGGTTGCCATTAGTTACTATCGAATGCGGGTGATTATTGTTATCATGAGACGGTGTAGGGAAGGAAGTTGAGGGTGGGTTAAAGGTTAATGAAGATGAATTAGGAGATTTGTGAGAGCGTTTCAGTTGTAAGTAAATTGTAGGGATGTCAATGTGACGGTTAAATGTTTGTTTGTCTAAACTATGCCACGCTTCTTTAAACTCACGGGCATGTTTAGTAGTTGCTTGTCCTAGGCATCTCGTTTGAGACCAGTCGAATTTGTGTCCGTTGTCGTCTGTGTGTTTAGCTGGAAGTGAGCTATGGTCGTGTCTGTTGATTGCGTTCTGGTGTTCTGTTAGTCTTGTCTGAATCTTTTTAGAAGTTTGTCCAATGTACTTATTCGGACAGTTTTTGCACGGGAAGTTATAAATGGCGTTATGTTTATCCGTTATATGTGTCTTGTCTTTGTGTTTAGTGAAGTTGGACCTAAGTTTGCATGTTGGTTTGTGTGCAACGTCAATGTTGCTCAAAACAAATTATTACAATCCGGAGAACACTGTATAATTTTGTAAAAATTATAATTTAATAAAATGCCTGGATTACAAATCTTCAAATCTGTTAAATATATATATATATATATATATATATATATATATATATATATATATATATATATATATATATATATATATATATATATATATATATATATTTATATATATATGTATATATATGTATTTAGAATTAGGTTTCGTTGTTTACAAAAACATTTGGCAGAGTGCTCAATGGATATCCAGAGCATAATTAAATAAGTGCAACGACTCAACAAATTCCACTAGGCATCTTTATTACTATTAGTGTCGTTTCTTGTGGTACGATATATATATATATATATATATATATATATATATATATATATATATATATATATATATAATATACCGGGTGTCCCAAAAAAAAGTACTCCGGTTTGATTCGTAATAACTTCTAAACAAGTAAACCTTTTAAAGAGAAATAACTTGCATCAAATAGAGGAAGGACTAACTTAGATTTTGATATATTACAGTTGTATTTCACTTAAAAATTCACGGAGATATTAATCTTTAAATTCGGGAGGATATTTCTGGATGTGTCTGAAATATGCAAAAATCGGCGTATCAAATATTAATCAAGATTTGCCCGACTGAAACATGCACTATTACCAGTAAATAGATGACACTTGACAAATTGTTTATTATGAAACAAAGTATTATTATATCTACAAAATACAAGCAAGATTCATTCGTCCGAAATTCGCGTGTGTTCCTAGCACGAATACGTTTCCTTATTTCATGAGACTACTGCATCGCGAAGGATCGTCATGGATCGTTCGTAGTTCTGAATTAGGGCATGCTGTCACAATGGAATTGTGAAGCTCTTCTAACTTCTGCAACGTTCTGAAATCTTGTTAAGAACATCCAAACTCTTTTGCATTTTCTTAATCTTGGCAAGTTCAGAGTAAACTGAGAATTATATGAAACACAATCAAACCATATAACTCCATAAGACATAACAATTAAGCAACTCCCCAGAGACATGCAACATTTTTGGAACAAAACGTAACAATATAGTAGCGTTGATACGGTGATGTGTATTTGCAAAAAGCAATATTATTTCCTTCAATAAAGAATAATATTCATTCTGCTCTAACCGAGAAATAATCAACTCAGTCTGTTTGAACCCATCAAAAACATCAAAAATTAGGCTATTTAAGAAAAATTTAAGCGCCTGCCTTCCATGGTCAGTCTTTCATGTACTTTTAATTTGTAAAGACCTAATATTAAATACTTGCATAATTTCGAACGTTCATATTTCAGGAAACAATGAGCTAAAACTTACATGTAAGATGTCTAAATCTACGCCATATCCCTAACAATAATTCGCTGAAATACAAGTTAGCCTGATATGTCATTAAGCAAACAAACGCTGCAGTTAATATTTGATATGCCGATTTTCGCTAATTTTAGACACATCCCAAAATATGCTCCCAATTTTGAACATTAATATCTCCGTGCATTTTTAAGTAAAATACAATTGTAATATATCAAAATCTAAGTTGGTCCTTCCTCTATGTAATGCAAGTTATTTCTCTTTAAAAGCTTTACTTGTTTAGAAGTTATTACGAATCAAACAGGAGTACTTTTTTGGGGGACACCCGGTATATATATATATATATATATATATATATATATATATATATATATATATATATATATATATATATATATATATATATATATATATATATATATATATATATATATATATATATATATATATATATATATATATATATATATAGTATATATATATATATATATATATATATATATATATATATATATATATATATATATATATATATATATATATATATATATATATATATATATATATATGTATATATATATATATATATATATATATATACTACGCTTATGCCTTGGCCTTTATGCGCACGCTCACTGCATTTCACAGTTTAACGCCCTTCAAGGAAAGCTCAAACAACGGCAACTATGGACAGCTGTTTCGCCCTTTTGGAGGCTCATCAGCACAGTGCACCGATGATGAGCTTCCACATCCCAAGAATATATATACTATAGAAGACAGTGTGGTGGATGTGGGACACTACAGCAATTTATATAATACACATTATGCCTTGGCCTTTATGCGCACGCCTTCTGCATTTCACAGTTTAAAAACGGCGATAAAGCACATAAGTAAAGACTTTGTAGCGCCCTTCAAGGAAAGCTCAAACAACGACTTTCGACACGCAGCAACAAATTCTACATGCCGATCGACAACAATGACAGCATTTATAAAAATAATTATTTGACTGAAATGAGTCCAGAAATCATGTTTGAACTGCCGTTTAAGGTAATTTTTTAAATTTTTATGTTTTAGAATAAGTCCTTGGTTCCAGTATTTGTATATTAACCTATATTTTTGGAAATTTAGCTGAACGTACGCTAAGTTTTTGAAACTAAACATTTGGCACTGATTTTTCGATACTTGTACGTGAAGGAAATACTTTTTTTTCGCAATTAGGTCGAAAAACGTACATTTCGGGCTTGACACGAAATCCATTGAGGTCTGTTCAGCATATTTTTCTATATTTAGTATCGATAGTGAGGGCTTTTCAGCTTTTTGAATTGTTTTCTTGAGTTTGAAAATTGTCTTCACTCCTCGGTTTGTTTTGGCGCGAAAACGTGAGACGTCCGTATACATACAGAAGCGTAACTTCCGCTTGTCGGGCCGCCATGTTCTTAGCCAGAACCTGCACATGCGCAGTCTTTAATCTTTTTAACGATTAAAGACTGCGCATGTGCAGGTACTGGCTATAGGCCGTTTGCTGTCCCACGCTATCGTTCGATTCCGTAATGCACCTCGTGGAACTAAATAATTTTATAATAACTGACCACTTTCAACTACGCTGAGTACGAATCCGAAGAGTTCCCGCTCCTAATCTCTTTCATTTTGTCACAATTGCCTCTTATATTAGCACTCATTTTCAACGTCAACAACCGCCATTTTGAATATTGCGTAACATACATCATAAAATAACATCAGTCGAATCGAGGAATTGTGACGTCAAGGCCGCCGACCGTTTACCGAATGTTCACCAAAGGAGGTCTCGCTGCATGTTAAATAATAAAGCATGGCGCAAAAACGCAGGAATATCAAAACAAAATGGACGAAAGTTCATGCATCATTAATTTCAAGGGAAAAGGCGGGCAAATAAAATATTTAACCACTGAAACATTAAAGAAAATAATCGAACGAAGAAAACAGTGGCTGAATCTCCCTGAAAAATACGGAGAATTCAGCGATATTGCGGAGAAAACGTACGCTCATATCCCTGTCAACAAAGATGAGGTATGTGAACATGACGAAAAACTTGGTTATCATGTTTCTTGCTATCGAAATTTTACCGACAAAACCAAGCTTGAGAGAGCGGAATCAACGCTTGCGAATTTAAAGAGAAAGAAAGACGAATGTGATAAACAAGACGATGATCCTGTTCCACAGAAAAGGACACCGACAAGGCAGTCGTCCCGAATTCAAAAACAAAGCTGTTCTCCTACCACTTCTATTTCTGTTCGTGGAAATATTCTACCGAAAAGGTGCTTGGTTTGTAAAAAAGCAAATCCTATTAGTGTATTTGAACCGGTGAGTATAGTGAAACATTGTTTTTATTTATTACTTTAAATATAAGAGAGGTGATCTGAGGTTGTTCTTATTATAAAGCCCGAATCAAGTGAGAGCGGAGGATCGCAAGTTGGCAGTCAAGATTTACTATCGTAACAGTCGTTTTAGCATTAACAAAATAACTGCTTCGAAAGTGTTCTAAACACGTATAAACTATGAGATAGCGTGATTGCCAACTTGCGTTCCCGTTTGATTCAGGCTCTAATTATAGTTTCCATTTTTGTAGCACTCGCGAAAGTATAAAAAACAGTTCCTATCATTGGCACAAACAATTACGGCAGGAGCCTTACAAGAAGCAGCCAAACTACATAATGACACTGATTTGTTTCGTGACATTGCAGGGAAAGACTGTGTTGCAATTGAAGCACGGTATCATAAAAAGTGCTATTTACAGTATACAAAGATTTTAACACGCAAGATCAAACCTCTTGGTGCAACAGTTTATGACAATGCGTTTGACATTTTTTGTGCTGAATTGTTGGTAACAAGGAAATACTTCTTCTCAGCTATTTGCTGGTGGAATTTATTAAGATTGTCAAAAAATTGAATGGAGAAACTATTGTGTACCAATCAACTAGGTTGAAGAATAGGATCCAAGCGCGTTATCCAAATATTGTCTTCCATTCATCAAAGATGATGATCAAAGGTATTCTCAATCCTGTAGCCAAATTCAACTGACAATATAAACAAATCCCTCATTATTTTGTGTTTTCTTGATCCCTGTATTGGGTTTTGGAGATGTATATTTTTCAGTTTTGTTTTTTAAAGGTATCCTTGTGTATGCAGATTGCGTTGTTACAGGAGATGTAGCTGATGAAGTGATGGATACAAGTAAAGATGAAGACACAGATGAAGAGGATGAAAATAGTGATGAAGGCTGCCGCATGATTACAAATTATGACCCAGATGAGATGTTTTATTGCCCTTTGTCTCAGTTGTTTTTATGTTGCAATGAACTTAAAAAATCTTCTTAATAATAATAATAATAATAAAGGGATAAGTGTAGTTTGGCCACACGACTCGCATGACCTATCAATGGAAGAAGCAACCAAATCAATCCCCTCTAGATTGTTTAATTTCATTGCTTGGATGTTAGGGTTTTCAGTTGAACCAGTTGAAGAGAGTAAGGTATCCATAAGTGACAGCGAAACTTGTAAGGTTGTTTCGATTGCACAAGATCTCGTTTATATAGCGTCAAAAGGATAAAAGTTTACGCACAAGTCACTAGCACTCGCAATGGCCACTCGCCACATTAATGGTTCTGTTAAGCTTGTTAAGATTATCCATGGTTTAGGGCATTGTGTTTCCCCAGCAACAGTATATAAACATGACTCAGCGTTAGCTTTAAGTTGTAATAATACTGATCAGAAGTTAATTATTCCCAGGAATATAAATCCAGGATCATTTTCAACCATAATATGGGACAACAATGGTTTTAATGAGGAGACAGCATCGGGAAAAGGAACTGCTCATGTTGCCAATGGTATAATTGTGCAAACAAAATCCAGTGACACACCATTATTACCGAAAATGGAAGTTAACAAAACAGTACGCACTATCAAACCTCCAGAGACAGATATTCTTCCTTATTTGTTGGTCAAGAAAGGACTGCCGTCTTTATTCAGTCACAAAGACGAATTAGTCATGGATAATAAGAGTCATCTCCAACATCAGAGTGATGGAAGAATATTTGATTTTGCATATATTTTGTCCAAATTACACCCTGCACCCAATGGAGTAATCTTACCAAGCTGGACAGCGTTCAACACCTAGACAAATCAGACTATACCAACGCAGTCAACTATTGGATATTTACCTGTTATTGATGCCTCCGTGACAGATTTAGCAACCGTTAACACCATTTTGGGACGGAGTGTCTTAATTTGCAAAGAACTGCAGCTACCACAGATTGTGCTGGTGTTCGACGAGACAATATACGCGAAAGCACAAATGATTCGATGGAATCATGAAGAATACCTCAATAAGACTGTCATTAGATTAGGTGATTTCCATACTGTGATGTCGTATTGTACTGGAATTTCCAAAATTTTCAAGGATGCAGGCTTAACGGTATATAATTACACAATATAGCGACAGGTTCATATTAAATATCTTGCTGTAGATTGTTGCTCATCGCCAGAAGCAGAGACGTAGATATGAAAGAGGTTCTTCAATACTCATTAAGACCATTCCACTTCCTTTGGCTATATCTGATGGCAATCTTGTAAAAACTGCTGTGTAAGAGCACATAAGTTGGTTTTTGAGGCATTACAACGAATGAGATTCCAAACATACATTAATTCATTATCTGAATCCGAAGAATTTTTTTCCCATTGTCACCTTCTCACAGAATGTTTTGAAAATTATACGTTCAAAGAGTTTTGCCTCGAAACCAATACCTTAGACGAGTTATACTGCAACTTTGATGAATTTAACAAAAAATGTACGTTGCCAAGAAAATCCAACATTTGCGTTCTGGTCGGTATACATTGAAATGGTTCAAGTACTTCTGTTATACATCAGAGCAACTAGAACATCCGACTGGGCCTTGCATCTTTCTGCTCTAAGATCTATGATCCCTTGGTTTTTTACTACCGACCGCATCAATTACGCACGATACTCCCCCTGCTACTGGTTAGAAATGTCTTGTCTGGACGAAACACACCCGTGTAAATGTATTACTGGCAATAAATGAAAAGTTAGAATAATGAGTTAGGCAATTACTTTACCTTACCAAACATTGATTAGGACAAGTTGTTATCCAGTGGAGGTAATGCATGTTGTACACCCAAATTATCAATTACTTTATTCTTCAACTTTTTAGACGTTTCGTTCAACATTGCAACGAACTGGACTGTACAGAGACTATGTATTTTCAAGTGTCGCATGTGACCAAACTATAGAACAAACGCTAAATCGCGACTCTAAAGTGAAAGGTGGGCTAGTAGGCATTACTCTTAATCGTGGGGCTATGCATCGATGGATACTAGGACAAGTAGAACGAGCAGCAATCATGCGTCAATGTGAATCGATGGCAAATGTATCTGATATCCCCAGGTGAATATAATGCATGAAGATAAAAATATTTACAATATAGTATGCATTCATACGAACAAAAAATGAATAAATTAAACTTGCATGTTCATTCACATTTCAGAGATAGAAAGGACTTGGACAAGACAAGGATAAAATCTGACGAAGATGCAGTAGTAGAAGTTATTCACACAATCGACGCTTTTGTTAATCCCTTTGAAAATGATCATACCGAACTCGTCCATCTCGCAAGTGGAAAAGTAGTCACAAATGCTGTTGCATCAGACATGACAAACATGTTCGAAAGAGGCGAAAAAGCTGCCTTGGATTTCATGAACACGAAAGTTCTATGTAGCAAACCTGATATATACGCTGCAATTAAGAAAACTAATTTGAAGACTTTTTCTCAAATGAGCACAAAGGTGAACAGCAAAAATAGGAAAGGAGACGTTGTAGCAGTAAAGAATTCAAAAAAGCTTTTTGCCAAAATGTTGCTCATCGCCAGAAGCAGAGACGTAGATATGAAAGAGGTTCTTCAATACTCATTAAGACCATTCCACTTCCTTTGGCTATATCTGATGGCAATCTTGTAAAAACTGCGAAGTCAAAGCTGTTACATCTTATCGAGAACAGGACTACTGATCACTTTGTTGATAGAATTGAAGGCGATAAAGTTCTTATACTGGATGCTATGGCAATACATCAAACTATCAAAATTATCCCATCTACATTTGGTGAGCTTGCCCATAAACAACTTGTCATGGTTGTGGAACTAGCCGTGAAGTCGAAAGCGAAAAGAGTTGATTTTGTATGCGAGCGTTATCCTGCCCAGAGCATAAAAGACTTTGAAAGGGAAATACGTGGTGAAAGAGGGACGCAGCTGATTAAAATCTACAGTCCCCTCCAGAAAGTTCCTCCCCAATGGAAGAAATTTATAACGGCTGGAGAAAACAAGGAAGAACTGATAAAATTTCTTTTTAAATCCTGGAGTGAAGAGTGTGATCCACAGCTGCTGCGAGGTGTAGAAGTTTTAATCGCACACGAAAGCCAGTGCCATCAGCTTGTTGCCTTGACAAATACAATCGCATGCCACGAAGTAGAAGATCGTGCCTGTGACCACGAGGAGGCGGACACGAGAATACTCGCTCACGCAGAGAGTGCGTCCGCAGAGTATTCCAGTATCATTATTAAAAGTCCGGATACGGACATATTTATCATAGCCGTAAACGCTAGCTTGTCAATTCATGCGCGCTGATTTATATTTCGAGACGGGGACAAAAGATAAAAGGCGGATAATATCAATTAGTAAGGTTAAAGAGAACTTGGGAGATCTATGGAGTGCAGCATTAATTGGTTTTCATTCTTTTACAGGTAACACTTTTAATTTTAAATTTGCTGATCAACCATTCTCCGAATGAAAAATTAATATATATCCTTCTTTAAGTTGTGATACCACAAGCGCATTCTTTGGAAAAGGAAAGTCTTCAGCGCTTAAAATTGCGATTGAAAGCGAAGAATACGCTCTGGCATTTTCAAACCTTGGAAATGAATTGGATGTACCAAGTTCTATGAAAGTTGTCTTAAAAACGTTTGTGTGCCATTTGTACGGCGCTGAAAATCAGAGTGATGTCAATCTCATTCGTTACTTACTGTTTAAAGGAGGAAAATTTGACGAGGAATTATTACCACCAAACGAGGATTCTTTGGAGCAGCATGTGAAGCGAGCGAATTTCCAGTGTTTTATTTGGAGGCGTGCAACAAACTCCATGATGGTTGCACCCAGTTTCTCTGGACACGGATGGGAGATCGATAACATTAATATTGGACACGTGCACATAACATGGATGACTTTGCCTCCAGCACCTGACTCCGTACTGGACTTTGTTAACTGTAAGTGCAAGACCGGTTGCATCAATGACCGTTGCTCTTGTAAAAAAGCTAACTTGAAATGTTCCGAGCTTTGTAACTGTAGTAATTGCCAGAATGGTGCCAATGGAGATACGGACACAATTGAGGATGTTGATTCTGACGACACATATAATCCAGTTGATAGCGATAGCGATAGCAGTGTAACTGAGTTCTAACTCTTCGTGTCAATTAGACAATGTTCAAACATTACAATTTTAAAGTGTATGCGCCAAAGTACAAATGTACAAATTAATATATTGGTTAAGGTGGCTGGCTACCTACACTTTTTAAAAAATGGAAGACTCATAACAATATTATTTCGCATGACATAATTCTTTAAAAGTCATAATAATGATTCAAAATACTAAACGATTTCGTTTTATGAAATAAAAAATGTCGTAACCGACCTTATTTGCAAGTTAAATAACTTTAAACCCGAAATCCAGCCATATTGAAGCGTCATTGTTGCCATAGCAACGACAGTGGCGATTCCTTTTGTTTTCGAAAAATCAAATTCTGTAGTCATTATTTTTCTAATCGGACTTTTCTGTCTTTTAACGGATAGGAATTTGTTGAAAAATTGGGTCTAAATCGGAGATCTTCCATTTTCTTGAGAACTGTAGGGAGACTTTCACATAAGGTTAATTATATTTAGCAGACTTTACACATTCATTCGTGGCAGTCTTGACATGACAAATTCTGTGTTTATTGTGAACAATCAAAACTTACATCGGAAATGCGTAGAAGCAAAAACACGGCATATCAGAGAAAACGCCTATTATATGATACTATAATGACGTCATCATTTTGCAATGTTTTTAAAATCTGTGAAAGAAATCGAATCCATTTGGTTTATTTTCTTTACCTTTCATCAACCATCATTTCGTAATGATTTACTAAAGATTTAGCTATTACCTTTAGAATTTTAAGCAATAAGCAATGATTTTTACCAAATCATATTTTGCTGAAGTCAGCAAATTTTAAATCGTCTATAACGGTGAAATGAAAGAGATTAGGAGCGGGAACTCTTCGGATTCGTACTCAGCGTAGTTGAAAGTGGTAAGTTATTATAAAATTATTTAGTTTCTCGGGCTGCACTACGGAATTTGTATTCTAGGCCGTTTTTAGCTTCACAGCAAACGGCCTATCATAGGAAATTTTTGGTGTTCTGGTGTTCGGCTCTATATGAGGCAGTTGAGGACCTGTATATGAGTTTGCAATTGTATGATAATCTCAAGTGTTTTAAGGAAATCGGACAACGGTTTTGGGAAAAGAAATGTTAATTAGCGACTGAAATGTCAGTCGGGCACGACTTCGACCACGCCCTAGTTTTAGTCGGGCAAAACAAGCTCACACCCCCAGCCGTAAAGGTCCAGTTACACGTGCGATTTTTTCTCGCGCTGGCAACGCAACGCCTTTGCAACGGGTTAAATTTCACTGCGTTACTCGCGCGATTGAAGTGGTGGCACGAGCATGCAATGACAGCTTAGCTGCGTCGCAAGTATTTGCATGAAAAAACCGGGCACTAGTGTTTCGCAATTCGCAAACGTCACTGACAACAACATGGCGTCGAAGGAAGAAAGAACTTGTAGTCATAGCTGCAATGCTTTTGCTGGAAGAAGATGACGAGGAGGTTAAAGAAAAGAAGCGTATTTGGAGCCGGCACTGGCTTCTAGAGAGAAAAAACAAAGGTTATTTCGAAAGACTTTCATTTTTCTGATCATATTTTGATTGATTATATTTTGACTATATATAATGGTAGAAGAATAAAATATTGTTGTGATACCGCACTTTAATAATTTTTGTTTTAAAGGTTCATTGAATATACAAAGAATAGTATTTTTATAATGTAAATTGTAATTATGTTCTTGTCTGTTTCTGGTAGATGGACTACAGAAGAACTGTCGTGGAATTGGATGAAAAAGAATATATCAGCTTGAAACTGTGTTGGTGTGAACTCAAAAACCGTTATGTAAGTTTTATATAGTGTAAAGTCGAACATACTTCCATAGTCTGAGGACGCCTCTAAGTTTAATTAAATGTTAAAGCTTTCTGGAGGTACTGATCAAAAACTGAAAATTCATGTGGACGGAGTGCCTGTCATCTAAACCTGGAGAAAATGGCTATCAACAATAGTCTAAGACTAACAATAAGGCTAGAATAGCTACTGTATTGCTCGTTTGCAATCGACGCCATCTTGGTTGATTTTCAAAACATACGTGGCAACTAAAAATCTATATTCTACATTCTTTGTCGTATTGTGCCAGAAATCGTAAACTATCCATAATACAGTAAGATGTTTTTAAAACAAACCAAAAATATTAAAGTAACTCAACTAATTCGATGTAAACGGCTGGAAAACAATTAAAATCAACCAAGATGGCGCCTAATGACACGTAGTGACGTCATGTGCAAGCAAAGAATTGAGCCAAATTCAAAAACTATTGGGGCAGGATCTGCCTGACTCGCACGTCCGTTACACTTTGATTGCAGGATCCATTCTCGTTCCCAGACTACTAGTTAGCGACCAATAAAAAAACTCAAATTGGAACTACCAACTGATCTCACACTAACACTTGGCAGAGCACATTTTGCAAATACAAAACATTTTCGAAAGCCAAACTAATTTGCAAATACAAATCATTTCCGAAACTAAAATATTTTATTGGTGTGATTTTCGAAGGAACGCGATCTGCTAATTATTTTCAGTGAAAATTGTACAGGGAACACTAAAACATCGGCGAATACTGCACGCGGATGGATGTCTAAAGTTACCTTTTTCCAAAGCCCTCCATATTCTCTTTGAATAATTTCTAGTTATGTCTTCATGATGCTATTAGCAAAAACCTGGACAAATTAAAAAGCTGCGATCCTCAAACACGGTTTCATTATACTTAACGACCTATCAACTCCTTCATCCTACAACTCAATGGTATCCGATCTGCAAGATTTGATGTCAGAAGACAGAATAGCGTCCCGTAAAAGACGGTTACCTTCCAAGCACCAACACGTTTTCCAGTGGAACCAAACGTGAGAAAAACCATTTAAGGAATCTGAACTTATGTAAATATTTCAACAGTCTAAAAAATCTTTGAGTATTTGACTTAAAAACTTGAGTAAAATAATGCACTCACAGCGACTGAAATTTATGAGCAAATTTACTCAAAATTTTCAAATTCATTTAATTTTTGAGTAAATATTTAAATTATTCAAATGTACTCAGAAATTTGAGTACTTTTAAACTTAAAATTTTGGCTTACTGTGGTCACATTACTGTAATCATTTTTTTAAATCAAATACAAAAGTCAAAATTTTTTGCAGTGAAATGATTTTCATACCGTGATTTTCACCATAGTTGACGTTATAATTTGTGGTAGATCAAGCACAATGGGGAATTAATTTGAAAGCAAAACGGGACATCGGATAAGTGTACAGCTTACTTTTCTGAAAGTGCTCTCCACCACTACCATAAATGAAAGTGAAAATATCAGCGTGTACTGTTTGAAGCCGACGATATTTTTCTAATGATCTCCTTTAGCGGTGTGCACCACACTGCCCAGTACTCTTACATTATGAGCCCCACACTGTAAAAACTGATAGGTTAAAACAACCTATTTCTAAAGTTTATAACCAATAATTAAAGGTTGTTTTATCTAATTGAATGGGTTAGAACCGATTTAAATTAGTTAAAATAACCTATTATTATCAGGTCAAGTTTTGCGACCAATAAAAATAGGTTAATTTAACCAATATTTTTTGTTAAGCAAATTTACCGATTAGTTATTATTCCCAAATAGGTCATTATAACCATTATGATTAGGTCAAAACACTGCAAGCTAAACTAACCCATATAAAATATGTCGAAATATTTAGTTCGACTTACGATATATACTTTCATTTTCAGGGAGTTATTGTTTAACTCCACTGAGAGTTAACAAGTACGATCGTACTATAGTGGACCAGGAACTGCGTGACTCATGCAGTTTCGATATAAATGAGTGTAGATCTGGACAAAGCAACACCGCGGAAAAACGTCTGGGCATGCGTCAACCTTACCTGTAATAGTATTGCGAACTTGATGAGAATCTGTTCCGAACGTTTCCGAAGGCTCAAAATGGCGGTAAAAAGGAGTGACTTCATTGTGCGTCTTTACAGCCAGATTTCGAGCGCAAAAATAAACATGTCATTCTAAAAACTAGGAATAAATATAGCCAGAAGGTTCAAGAAATTGTATTGTACAAGAACATAAACTAAAGGTGATTGTTGACAAATTTATCGTCTGAAACATTTTGTTTATCAACTTAGCAACGACAATTTCCGAATTTTCGTTTGAGATACATTTCTTTAAAAAAAACTGTGTCGCCAAATATAAAAAAATTTCGTGTTCACAATCATTAAACTTTAGGATTTATTCTACAATTTGAGTGGGTTAAGAAGCTTAACTTTTCAAGAGTTTTCTTAACTTTTTAGTTTGAATTTTTGTTTTGAATAATTTTGCAAAAATTTTCGAAGTCGTGTCCGTTAAAATCAACAATTTTTTACATGAATTATATTTCATTCCATACTTTAAATGCCAGGATGCTTTCAATTAATGTCTAGTCTACCCATTTGCTATATTTACTCGTTTGTTTTACTAATTCTTGACCAATTAATAAGCATGTTTTTGTTTTAGAAATTGATATTCAAATTCCCCGCCATATTTTCATAATTTGGTGCATGCGCAGACGTTTTTCCGCGGTGTTGGACAAAGCATAGATAACTAAATGCGCAGTTTTCAAAAGTATATACTCGCATTCGAATTAGATAGATTAAGACTAAACATACCGTGCCTAAATTTAACTTTTGTCGTAACAAAATGTGCCGTGCGTGCCATTGCAAAATATTGCAGCTGCAGTCGTGTACGTGCCGTGTAAACGGGACTTAAGTTAAGGTAACAATTTATCTGAATTGTTGCTATAGGTTAATGCAGATCATTTCGCTTGGTAATGATTTAACAATAAGTGATTTCTATAATTTCCGTTTTTTTGGGACACCCTGTAGTACTCCTCTGCGCTTTGAGAAACTAAGCCAGCGTGTTAAATTAGTCAACTTAAGTCTTAACGCTTATAATTGTTCGTTATAATTAGTCGTCCACATTCTTGAGAAGCTTTAGACTATTGTGATTGTGTTCACAACG